AAGGTTATAAATGTGATTTTGACATTGAACTTGAAATGTGGTGTAAAATGTGTAACTGTAATTAAAGGTCACAGATGTTGTGTTGGAGGTAGATGGTAGGTGAAAGGTCAGGGGGAAAGAGGAACTGATAGGAGGGCAAAGGTGACCAAGGCATTAGGTCATTAGAACAGACATCATGTCTCCAAAACGGTGATGGATACGAGATCATCGGTCCAAGCAGTCAGCCAATGAGAGAGGCACAGCAACAAAGCTAGCCAATGCAAATGCACCAAAAGGTGGATAAACCCTTTATAAGGTGAGTGCAAAAGAGGAATCTTTGGTTGGATCCTTCAGGCAGCTTCGAGCCAAGATCGAGATGGACAAAGAACTCTGCAGCTGAAGAAGAGCCGGAGCCACAGAGCCGAAGACTGTTCTGCACATGGGGACCAACCCGTTAGCCCCGCAACATGTGGCTTCAAATTGCACTTCTCTCATCAGCTGGGTTTGGGACCCCAAAGACAAAGACAAAGACCAAGGCAAAAATGAAGATAAAGATGAAGATAAAGACAAAGGCAAAGAACAAAGGCAAAGATGAAGAACTGGTGTATTCCTTCCATGAGACCAGCTCGTCTACATCTCGAGGGATCAGAAAGATCGTGAGACGAGGAGAAAGGAGCTAGAGAGCTGCAAGACAAGAAGCTGAGGACCGCTACACACATGAGGAAGTCACCCTGAGGCCCGAGACCAGCCCTCTAAGTCAGTACTCTTCCTGTACTGGGAGCCGCCTTCTGCTGCTGCAACACCTTTTTCATCATCAGGCCAGTTCTGGGGTTCAAAATGCCAAACTCCGTTCATCTCTCAAAGTTTTCCTTTTTTAGTTCACAGTGTCAGCATTAGGGAAAGATAGATTAGATTATTAATTTTACTTATTTGATTATTTCTGCTACTGATTTAAGCTGTACTGACCCTTGCAATAAAATAATTAGCATTAAGAAAATCTAAAAGATGTTGTGGACATTCAATTAATGAGTCACCTTAAAGTTCTTTGATGGTTGTAAAATAGCTATCGGTTGCTTTTAGCCAAAACAACACCCTTGGGACTCGCCCTAGTCACTAAAACCAACCTGGTTCAGTAACAAGTACAAGTTGTAATAAAGAGAAAGAGCGACCGTTAACAGGTGTGCTCTGTGAAACTAGCTGATTGCGGGCTGCTCGATCTGGCAAGTTCACAGGGTGAAAAAGGGTGGGACATCTGGAGGCAAAAGTCGTTAGAAACCAGGCTAGTCTTTCTCGCGCCCAGCTCTCGGACCCGTTAGAGAGCTGGGATAGCACATCTCCCTACTCTCAGAAGAGGAAGTAGAGAGAAAGAGAAGAGGGGAGGGGGATGTTGCGCAACAACACCTCTCTCCCCCTTACTTTTCACACTGGCAACTGAGCCATTGGCATCAGCTATTCGCCTCCATCCACAAATCTCCGGGATCACGGTGGGCCCCACAGAGCACAAAATTTCTCTATTTGCTGATGATGTTATTTTATTTCCAACAGATCTGAAAAAGTCAATTCCAGGAATTTGGGAGAGTCTCAGGTTACAGAGTAAATACAAAATCTTCTATTCTGGTATTAAATGTCAGTGAAAGGACTAATCCCATCAGTGAGGTTAAGCAATTTAAAATAGTGGAACAGTTTGAATATTTAGGTGTTCAAATTTTCCCAGAACTACAACAGGTGGTCAAATCCAATTACAAATACCTAAAGAAAACAATAGCTGCCTCAAATGACAACTGGACATCCCTGACTATATCCATATTGGGAAGAGTTAATGTCCTGAAAATGAGTATACTACCAAAGCTATTATACCTCTTTCAAAGCATTCCCCTGCCGCCTCCTCCTGAATTATTAATTTGGCTGAAAAAAAACAAAAAAAAAAACATTTCAGGCTTTATGTGGAACAATGGAAGGTCTAGGCTACGCCTCTCATTGCTTTATTTACCATTTGATAGAGGGGGGTTAAAGTGCCCCAACTTTAAATTTTACTATTGGGCCACACAACTAAGAACTATCATGTTCTATTTTACAGATAAGATAATCCTCAATAAGTAGAAATGGAGTCCCATAATTTAAGTTTAGCTCTTCCATTATTCATATACTCCGACGCTTCAAAGAAGTTACAGAACAGAAACGTACTACAAATACCATTCTGAAAAACATGATTAAAATCTGGCAGGATGTTAGAGAAGACCTCGGAGCCAAACAGCATGTCCCAATTTAGTCCAATATGGGGTAATCAGTTATTTGGTCCAGGTACGGTAGATGGAGCATTTAGGCTCTGGGCATCGAAAGGCTTAAAAAGTATTGGCTACCTTTACTCATCAAATTATGATATATTTTTGTCATTTGGAGAGGTACAAACCAAATTTAAGCTAGATAAAAAGCATTATTTCAAATTCCTTCAGCTGAAAAGCTTTGCTAAAGCAACTAACAAGTAATCTTAACAAGCCTCCCCTTACATTGCTTGAAAAATTAATAACTGAATAAATCAAGAAAGGGCATCATTTCAGACTTTTATAATGTGTTGATCTCTAACTCATTAGAGAACTCAAACAGCCGTGTCTAAATATGAGAGTCCTAGTAAGTGTCCATCTTTTGCACATTCAATTTCCTGCAGAATGTCACCCTGTTCTCTTAACTTTATGTTGTCTCTGTTGTTGAGTTTGGGAAAATGTTCGATCTTTTATAACAGTGCATTTGCCACTACTTCAGGCGAACGGCAAGATTCCTCCAGTCTTTGCCATACAAGGTCCAGTACTGCAGTTGGACTAAAGTGGTTGGCTGAGTAGATTCTTTTTGCTTATTGTTCAGACTCGGCTCCAAGTCACTTGACCATTAAATCTAGCTCTTCTTGGGCTGTAATGTGCAAATCTTTTTGAAATGCTGTTTTCCACGACCAGTAGTTCTCTGGGTGGTCATCAAACTGCAAAAGTCCTGAATTTAACATTTCTCTCTGTGTAAGGTACTTGGTACACCCTGTCTCTCTGTTGATGTTTGAGTGTCGAATGGATATAGTTTGGGGAGGGGGGAGGAGGGAGTTCAGTCTCTCTCTGTGTTGTGCTATATGCGCCACTTTGGGCTTAGCTGCTTCTGCACTGTGTGAGCTGTTGTTGTCCATTTCTTTTGTCATGGCTTTTTCATACTGTTCACGTGTAGCCTTGTGAAAGGCGAATGGATCTGCTGGCAATGAGAAACCTTCAAAACTGATGTCTATCTGAATCAAAGAGTAAAAGTAAGACATACAGAAGAAAACAGGTGACTTCCTGCTGGAAGTGGGCGAGAATAAGGTGATGTCATCAAATGACCATGTGAATGTGATGAGAGCTGGTTTGGGACGATATAAATGAAGTTTGATGCAGCCGGAAGCTTTAGTGGGAAAGTTATTCAACTTTGATGTTTCATGGCAAATGGTCAGATTTGAGGCTTGACCACGCCGACATGTTTTGATGTACGAAAAATCCTTTGATAACTTTTGACCTTCAATGCCTCAAGACTGTGCTGAGTGGTTGTTGAAGTCTGCATTTCAAAAGCTTTAGGACGAATTCAATCAGATACGGCATCAACAAAACAGGCAAGGTGGCAGCTTTGACTCAAAATGACTGTCTTCCTGCTGGGTTTGGACCATGGCTCCAAGAGATGTTCAAGATACGCATGTGTACCAAGTTTCATAATTCTGGGTTAAAGTATAGCCTGGGGCTGATCATTAAAACTATTGTAGGGGGCACTGTAGAGAAATTAGGCCACGCCCACCAAAGATTGTTGTGGATTCCTGCTGGGGGTTGGACAAGGATCCATCCCAGTGAGTTTGGTGCAGGTTGGCTTCAAATTGTGGAATTTATAGCCAAACGTATGGCAACAGCATCACAGGTCACTTCGCCACAACCACCTGCTCCACCAAAACCGGTCAGGGTTGGAATCCACGTCACACCAACATGTCTTCTGTCAGTTTCATACTGATTAGGTAAAAGCAGCCAGATAGAGACAGTTCACGGTAAAATATGACGCTGCCTGTTCTCGGGGGGCATGGCTTGAGTGATGTCATCATTTGACCATTGGGTATTATAGGGCGCCCGATGGAGATCAATCACTGGAAGCTTGGTGCCTCTGTGTTTTTGTGTAGGAGATATAACAGTTTCGTGTTTCATGGTCAGTAGGTGAAATTTGAGGCATTTTTTTGGCCATGCCTTATGAACAAACTGACCAAGTCTGAACCCAATTGATCGAAATCTCTAGGAGGAGTTCGATCAAATGCGAAGGCTGTAAACTGCCAAAACGGCTTGAAAATCTTAACTTCAGCCCAAAATAGCAGACTTCCTGTTTGATGTGCACTATGACATTAATATGTTTTTTTTTTTTGTTTTTTTTTGTGCGTCTTGGGGAGTTCTACAAGTGTACCAAATCTGATGCTTCTACGATGAAGTAAGGTCAATGTGTGCTGTGGAGGTAGTCTCCACCTACAGGTACCTGGAGTGTGCACATATCCAGTGACCTCACCTGGAGTGCCAACACCTCCCATGTGGTCAGGAAGGCCCACCAGTATGTCTACTTCCTCAGAAACTTGTGGAGAGCTGGACTTGGGAGCTCAATTTTGAGGAGCTTCCATCACTGTCGTAGAGAGTGTTCTCTGCACCTGCATCACTTTTTGGCATAGGACTGTGTCTTTCCGCCACCTCGCACCTCCAAACATCACGATGCAGGAGGGAACTCCACATGAAAACAGACTTCACCCATCCTGCACACAGACTGTTCCAGCCGCTCCTCTGAGGCGGGAGGCTGAGGAACATCCAGACCAAGACCACCAGGCTGAGAAACAATTTCTTTCCTTTATTGGTCAGACTCCTGAACTCAAGCTGAACCCAATTCAGCTTCATCTCAAATTATTTACACACACACATCACAAGAATTACTTTTTTCAAATTTATCTTATGTATTAGATTTCTTAATCTGGGACCTGAGTCCAAATTTTGTGCCACAAACAAGCAAAGGTGATATGGCAATAAAAAAATCCTTTAATCCTTATTCAGTAAACTACCTGGCACCCATCTTTGTTTTATCTGAACAAATATCATCAGCCTACATGCTGACATGTCTCTGGCAACTATTTGGAGCCGTTTTGCGTGGCTTATACTAGCCTGTATTGCAGTGTTGTAGTAATCGAGACCGGTCTTGGTCTCGAGACCAGTTTTAATGAGACCGCATTTGGTCTCGGTCTTGTCTCAAACTCGGGGGCTCAGGACTTGGGATTTTATTTCAAGACCAGTCAAGACCGCAACAGTGGAAATATCACTAAACTTACAGCATACTGTCCAGTTTATTTAACATCTTTGTTTTCACTGGGTGCAAAACGCATCGATTAAAATCCAAACAATAACATGACTTACCAATTAGGTTACACCTTCCACCTCTCTCCACACTTTTCACTCGCACGCAGCGCTCCAAGACATGAACAGTGGTTTTCTCTGAGCGGCAGAAGATGTCTAATCATCAGTAATAGAATTGCGTTGCATAAATCATAAGAAATCCGATGGCGACAGCTAACTCAGCAGCACTTCGCTTTCACAGACGGTGGGGACTACGTCTAACTTTTTTTGTCACTTAGAAAAGTGACAAAACCTGTATAAGTTGACGTGATGTTAGCAAAGCTAGCTGTACAGAGACACGAAGATTTATGATGAAAAAAGTTGTCACTCACTGTGCTGGATTATTGTGCGGAGGTGTTGACTGACTTGTCCCATATATGGGACAACACTGTGCCCAAAAGTCTGCAAGATAGTGATTTGACATTCACGAACAATACGATTATTCTGAACTGCTAAGAAGATCGGACTGGAGCCTCACTGAGAGTTGTTCTTTGTTCTTGTAATGCTCTGGTACACTGCAGTAGCTATTATTATTTTATTTAATTATATACATTGAGTATAATTAATTACATACATCTGACGGTGAGTGGTGATTGGGGCAGATTTTAATGGACATGTTGGAGCAGGGAACAGAGGTGATGAGGAAGTGATGGGCAGGTTTGGCATCCAGAACAGGAATGCAAAAGGACAGATGGTGGTAGACTTTGCAAAGAGGATGGACATGGCTGTAGTGAATACTTTCTTCCAAAAGAGACAGGAACACAGGGTGACATACAAGAGCGGAGGTAGAAACACGCAGGTGGATTACATCTTGTGTCGACAAGGCAATCTGAAGGAATTCAGTGACTGCAAAATGGTGGTAGGTGAGAATGTTGTTAAACAACACAAGATGGTGGTGTGTAGAATGACTCTGAAGGTGAGAAAGGTGAAGAGGGCAAAGGGAGAACCGAGGACAAAGTTGTGGAAGCTGAAAAAGGAAGAATGTTGTGTGACTTTCAGGAAGGAGTTGAGACAAGCTCTGGGTGACCAGAACATGCTTCCAGATGACTGGCCAACTACTGTTCATGTTATCAGGGAGACAGGTAGGAGAGTACTAGGTATGTCTTCTGGAAGGAAAGTTGACATGGAGACTTGGTGGTGGAATAAAGAAGTGCAAATATGGGTACAGAGAAAGAGAGCAGCCAAGAAGAAGTGGAACAATGTGAGGACTGAAGAGAGTCACCAAGAGACAGGGAGATGCAGCGCAAAGTGAAGGTAGAGGTTGCTAAGGCCAAACAAGATGCATACACTGACTCGTATAATAAGCTGGAAAGTAAGGAGGGAGAGAAGGACTTATACAGGTTGGCGAGGCAGAGAGATAGAGATGGGAAGGATGTACAAAAGGTTAGGGTGATTAAGGACCAAGATGGAACTCCACTAACAGATGCAAAAAGTGTGATAAGAAGATAAAAAGAGTACTTTGAAAAGTTGATGAATGAAGAAAAAGAGAACAAAGGGAGAAGAAACTGCTCCTGTGGATCAGG